TAATGGAGCACACATTTAACATCCCACGAGTCTTCGATTAAACACAAAAAACAGGAAATCTGAATAAACTGCGTAGGAAGAATCGCAACAATGGTTTTACTGGCACGTATTCCGAAAGCATCAACACTACGTTGAGACAACGGGCCATTTTAGTATTTTATATAGTAGGTAAACAAATTTTCCACGTCTTTGAAGCAGAAAAGCATTGCGAGTGAAAATTCGTAGGACTTGCAGAGTTTTATTTAAAGCAAAAATAATTCTCCCCTTAAAAATTCTTGTAACACACTGAGCTGCTGCTCTATTGTTCTTCCCATCATATGGAATGAATTATATGAAATGCACTAGTCTGGGGTCAAAAGCTGGTTTTTCACAGTCACGCTGGAATAACTCACCATAACGGTATGCATACTTTACTGCTGGACTTGGTTTCTGGGTTCTCATACAAGCGCCTGCCTGACACATCAGTGAAATTTTCACCAGCAGGAAAATGTCAATTAGTAAATAAGTTGTGATTTGAAATTTCCTGTATGTTCCTGTAAGGAGGACTCCATGGCTAGATATTTATCAGATCGCATTTCCGAGCTGTTCTTCGAGTTGATCTGCGTTAAAAGCAATGAAGTAGGTCCCAGCAATCTACGTATTAAACATTAGGCATGAGCAGCGCGGTGGGTGGTCTTTAAATGTAGTCATTTCAACACATCTTAAGAAAATGTACAATATTTTAACCAAAAACCCCAAAACATTTTACCGACAAACACATATTTAAGCTTTGACACACTTTAATATGAATGTTCCACATCGCAGAAAATGCAATAAAGCCGACGTGATAGCGAAGGACGAACAACGTAAAATAGGAGATAACCTTTTTATTTTAATACGGAAACTGCTTTTTTGGGGGGGGTCACAAAACCTCGCGCAGTGACACCAAACCTAGAAGACGCCAACCCCCCCCAAAAAAAAAACCACAACGTAACTCCGCCTTCCAGCAAAATCAAACTCCTACATGCAGCAAAAGCAAACTCGTGCATAAACTAAGAAAGCCCTGGCGTAGTAAGGAAGAAAGACATTGATTGCATGTGAAAAAGAAAAAAAAATGCTTCGCTTTCATGCTTTTTTTTGGGGGGGGAATACTGGCAACACGGGGACAGCGCTTCTACACACCTCCACCTTTCCAAACCACAGCTCGGAATCCGAACTCCGCCTGGCGACGTCACCGCCCCCCCGTGGCAAAATGTCTAGCGTGGCCACTCCGGCGCGCTGATTGGCTACGGGTGACGTCGCTCAAAAAAAAAACAGGGCTACAGTGTAACAAAAAAAAACTGCAACAAAAACAGGAGAGATCTTGCCCCTTTAAATAAAACTCCACATACCTGCAAAGTTTGTGTGACATTATCGCAAAGACAAGCGCCCCTAAGAACCCACTGAACCTCTGTTGTTGAAGGTCTATTCACGGGCTGCTACACGTATCACCACCAGATATGTCCCCGATCCCAGTCTGCAGGCTGTTGGCAATTTGCCTAGCTCTTTCAGAAGCCATTTTCATTGGCCACATTGGCTACTAAAGACTGACTCACCTTCTACAGAATTCAAAACCTTTTTTCGGCTTTTGCGCTCTACTCTCAGGTCCGTGAACTGGACAGTCCCTGCCGCGCAGAGCTCGCCTCGGATGACGCGCCGGCACAGTTGTGATTTAGTAGTCCCAGGCGAGGTAAAGTTTTTTTTTATATTCGAAATAATTTTCAGCGAGTCAGCTGCTGCTCTTAGCTTTGACCACCATCTTTTTATTACAGGAAATGACATGGAAAACGGAAGAAAGCAACTTGAGTCCAGAGAGGGACCCCCGAAATCGAAGACGAAGACAAAATTGTGCATATTTTGAAAAGTTTGGCTACAAAACAGTTGAAGCTACCTGTGCTATGCACGCTTGTCGCCGATCTCCAACCCAGGAGTTAAGAGGAAGCACCTTATAAAATTTAGCCTCCTAGCTTGTAGCCACGGAGCAATCAGGAAAGATGTATATGGTTCATGAAGGCTTTTATTATCTTGAAGTTTATTCTTGGTTTCGAGTTAAAAGTTTTGGTTTAGGCACGCTGACATGCAGTTCAATTATTGATTGCAGCTACGGTCCAATATGATGTATAATGTTTTGCCTCGCTCACGATTAAATGTAGTAGTAGTTGACTTATAATACTGGTCGTCATCTGCCCATATTAATACAATCTTTGTGCTTATTTTTGATTATTCTGGTGAGTGTAAGATCCCTTAAAAAGTTATCTAAACTATTAAACGTTAATTTTAATTCCCAGATTACATGTGCTTAATTATCCTAAACCCACGTTCTTCTCCAAGTTCTTTAAAAATAAAATAATAAATCGTTATGCTTAGGTGTATTTGCCATAGTGTCATTATTTTTGTATTTAGTCTTATCAACTCACTTCTCACCATATGCGATTTTAAAATCAAGTTCTTTTACCGGACTCTTGACTCTTAAATGGAAGGACATCTTAGTTACAGGAGTGTTCGTCTAAAGTTGTGCCTTTTAATATCTTGTATATTATCGATGTATAATGATTAGTCCACAGTTTTGTGTACTTGAAGTTCCAATTAAGAGGGATAACTTGAAAATGGTTAATTTGGGGGAAAAAATGAAAATTTTTAAAGGTATTTGGATTTTTCGAGTGCAGAATTGTACGTCTACAAATTAGAAGGATTTTCATCCGTTACGTAAAATTAAACGAACAAATTGTAATTCACAGTCACATGGGTGAACAAATGCTTTCGCAAAATCCTATAGACCATAATGCTATAAAACCAGTAGGAAAATACGATCTTTTCAATTTAATTAAATGCAGGACTTTCATCCAACAAGAAAATAGTAAAATTGTATAGTTCGTTCTTTGACCACATACAGTATGCTCGGTACATAGGCGATTATTTACAGACTGAATTGTAAATCAAGAACCTTACTCGTATATTCTATGAAAAAAAATCGCTGTGTTCTTCAATTGGGAAACAAATTAAGCTAGTGCTAGATATTGATAAATGTTTTCTACTCCAGCAGACTGAAATAATTAAACCCCGCTTTTATGGTGTCTCTTGCTCAGGAAAAGTATCAATTTTAAGATTACGTTAAACCCTAGACTATTTTCTATTAAAGGCATATTATTATATGTAAATGTAAAACAATTATTTTAATTCTACGCCTTTGTAATTGTAAATTATTCATTAAAAAAATGTATGCTTGCCATAACGTTACAAACCGTATTTCTATGTAGTGGGTGTATCATGTTTCGTTTAATCACAAATGCTTCTTGAGATTTTATTCTTTATTACATGCTGTTCTCCTGGATTTTGTGGCAGACGTCGCAGGCAAAACATTCTTAAAAGACAGTGCTCGAAAAAACCTGGGAAGGAAAGGGTCCGCAGCTATTCGGGTCATGTTAGGAGTTTTTTTTTGCCATTTGCAGAATTTTACACGCGAGTGTCTGCGAAACGTCGTCCGAGGAGAAACTAAATGAATTCATTCGGTTCCCAGACATTTATGTTGTGCTCGATATTGTGCAATGTAGATTTATCGATAACAGTATGATGCGAGATAATTACCGTATTTCAAAATCGAGCCTTGAACCCACGTCTTTCGTCAGTAAACAAATTCACATTGACGTCTGGGAATGTGGAGGGAGAATGTTTCCACCCGGATGTTTGAGCTTGTGGCCACAGTTTCCGGATGGTCTCCATCTTGGCTGGAGAGCGATGATTTTCCCGGAGTTTGGGATGAAAGACAGAGAAGACTTTAGAAGCGAAACAGAAATGGCCAAGACTTGACAGAAATCTAACCCTGGGTTACTTAAATAATTTACATTATTGTTACTACAGCCCGGTATGCATTAAGATATAAAAAATAGCCTTCAGTCTTAAGTTGATTGTTTTGTTCAGGGCCTCACTGTTGACACTGTTTATTTGTTACCTAAGACTGTTTGAAATTATTCATATACAGTATTTAAATTTAGCTAAAGAGGTTTAGAGGTTTAAGTTTTCTCACAAGGCTCAGCGCAAGACAAGTTCAAATACAGGAAGTGTAATGTCACGAAAAACAGAGACGAGCTGGAGTATTTTTACGAAGAATCAGAAAACGTTGTGTGAGTACAGTTTTGTTTAAGCAGTCATTCAGTAAACATCAGTATTGATATGATAGGTTGTACAAAGACGTAGTTTCATGGTCGATGTAATGAGTTCAAAATGTGTTTGTCCGTAGTTGTATACTGACACTATGCACCCTATGCTGAAAACATCCAGTGCTGTTTTCTGCCAACTGTTAAGTTGCAATTTACTAACGCCTTCGTGCAGTGTTCAGTTTCTGTGATCCTAAACGCGTCACGATACGACGCATGCGCAGAGCGTGAGCGTGGGGTCCTGTACTTCTGCAATTCGTGTACATTTTAATCACATTAACACGAATAAAGGAAAGTATGTATGCACAGAGTAAGCTCCTAATAATGTATGTGAAAAACATGCCTAGTTACAAAAAATCATAATGATGTGTAGTTCAGACTGCGACTAAACTATCATAGTCGGTCATAGTTTTTGTTTCCTGTTCTCTAAAATGCATAAAAAAGATTCTTTAACAGTAAAAATCATATACTGTACAAATGGTTGATCTTTACCTCTTCAGCACCATTTCCTCTTGGTATGACCCAGTCTCGTCTCGTTAGCCTGTCTTTTGTCTTCCCAGCTCCCCTTAGCATAGTATTCCTGTACTCTTCTGCGTTCCCCCAAGCATCCACGACCGAAACATAGTTTTTTCACTTTTCTTGTTAGTTTTCAGTGTGGAATTATACGCTGCTTGTTCTCTAAACCTGTGTGCATTTAGATGACCAGCAGTGACTGGAGCTGACAGTTCAATCGAAAGATGTCAAGAGCACAGCCCAGCTATAGTGCCAAGCCCCCCTTAAGGCGAAACGTGCTCTGTACTAAGTGCTGTGGCCGGCTGGTAGCATCGCCTCTGTGATTTTCAGCTTTTCTTCTGTTTCATTCTGGGCCTCCTCTGCAGTATTCCTCTGTCCTTGTTGTTGTGCTTGATTTGTACAATTGAATCGCTTGTGTGACCCGTCTGCACGTAGCCTGTGATGACTGCAGAGAAGGCTCTGGGGGGGAGTGCCCAGCTGCCGGGGTCCTGCGGTGCATTAGGAGCTCCAGTCCGGACCCAGAGTCCCCCTGCCCCGCCCTCCTGCGCACCCTGCCCCCGGGGCTGGCGCTGGGACCTTCGCTGGCACGGGGCAGCTGCATCGGCGTCTGGTGTGTGGGCAAGGCCGTGCACAAAGGAGCTTTCTTTGGGCCATTGGAGAACTGCGCCCATCCCACCGGTGTGGATGAGACTGAAGAGGTAGGTCTGGTACGAGTTCATCCATCCATCTGTTTTCTAACCGATTCATTCAGCTCAGGGTCATAGGAAAGCTGGAACCTATGCTGGCAAGCAACAGGGGCAAGGCAGGATGCACCCTGGACAGGATATCGGCCCATTGCAGGGACACACAAGCACACTCGCTCCAGGGACAGTTTCTACAGAAGGCAATTAACCCATCAAAATATCTTTGGACCCCGGGAGGAAACCAAACACAGGGAGAACATGCAAACTCCATACAGACAGCACCCCAGGGCCAGAATTGAACCCAGAGCCCCAGCATGGCAAGGCAGCAATGATGACCAAAGCACCACTGTGCCACTCGAGGACATATAAACAGCAGTTTTGTAAATCAATAAAATCTTTATAAAGTGTAAGGTTAATTCCAGCTATAGTGTTTTCCAGTTTATGATGTTATTACTAGTAAAACAAACCCTGAGAGCTTGAGGACTAGAAACCTTAGTGTAATGGGTTCAGCATCCAGCAGGTGGCTGTACTGCACATTTGGTATCTTCATTATCTACTTCAAATAAAACTGTGAAGATGTCAAAATTTATGTCTGCCTAATTGTTTTTTTTTAACAGGGAAGGGGACCGAATTCTGAACAAACTATAGACCCTCTTCCTCTCGAGGAGGCAGGTAACTGGATAAGGTAATTTGAATAAGAAAAATTCCTCTAGCTTGGAGGTTCCCAATTTCTCGTCCTGGGGACCCACACGCCGGCTTGTTGTGCACTGCAGCTGAGCTCTTTCATTGAACCAGGAAGTTGCTTGGTTGGAATCTTTGCAAGGTTTTCTTTTTTACCCAGGAACCGGCGATCTGAAGTAACTCAAGAAGCACACTACTTCAAAGGCAAGCCCCTACCTTTGGGGATCAGAAAAGGACCTGAAAACAAACGTGTCAAATTAAACCAGTGATTGTGTCTATTAAGGGTTTGATTATTTAACTCGGTGCTCTAACGAGTTTAACCCAGAGGTGTGTGGGTTCGAGGGCCAAGGCTGGGAACGCAGTTGTAGACACAAGACACAAGAATCAAGTCAGCTGGGGAAAATACAATTCTCATCCTTAAGGCCTATAAGATCTGAGTTATAGAGGAGCACAAAGAATCCAGTTGCTAAGACTCATTGCTAAGCATCTCCAGGGCCTGGAGAAGGACTCCTTGCTGTCATCCAGCCATGTCTCGTGTCTTATTTTATTGATCATGGGAATCCTCATTCTTGGGTCCTGTTGTATCGAGGGATCCATCTGCATGCCCACACAGTTCCCGCCCTTTCTCCCATGCCCAGGTTTGCCTGCAGGGCCGGAAGCGAGGGAGAGTGGAACGCGTGCGTGCTTCGGTTGCGCGGGAGGCCGTACGTCAAGGCGCTTGAGGACATCGAGCCGGGAGTGGAGCTGCTCCTCAGGCCGGGAGAGGAGGGAGAGGTGTCGGCCGAGGAAGGCCAAGGAACGCGCGGCCAGGAGGCACAGAGCAAAGACGAGACCGTCAAGACCGAGGAGCGCCACGCCCGGGGGGAAGCTCTCGACTCCGAGACTGAGGAGGCTCCACGGCTACCAGGTAACAATGCTGGGAGACGGTCCCCTGAGATCAACAACTCTAGTCACAATATCTGAGGACAAAAGAAAGGTTACGAACGAGAGGAGGCTATTTGGATCATCTGGCCAGTTTGGTGGTTGGATCCCTGTGGATCCAATGTTCTCATCGAGATGTTCCTTGAAAAAAGTTGGGGTGTCAGCTGAAACAGTGAATGTAATGTGGAATAGACTGACTGAACTGTGTTCGAAGGAATTCTAATCTTTTGAAACTAACCGGGTGCCCCCCTTTAGTTTTAATTAAATTTGTTTCCGTTTTATTTGAGGTGATTGTGTGTTTGGTTAAATCTTTTTACAGATCCGAAAAAAAGCCATGAACAGGCTGTACCCAAACCTCAAGGAGCTCATGCAGGTCCATCCGAGGCATGTGGAACCCCTGAAATTGCAGTACAGGAAGTTCCCAAAGAGTCCGGGGCAGCAGTAGAAGAGCACAGACCGCAGCGACTTCACCGTAAAAGACGACTGTCTCAAATCTGTAAGAAGGATTCGAGAAATCATTTACCCCGTGACTCCGAAGAGACAGATTCTGCACAAATAGACGAGGATGGCTCTCCTGAGGCGCTAAACAACCCGGGTGCGTCCTCAGACAGGCCTTCCAAAGCAGCACAGGGGGACGATGGGGATTCTGTGACGGAAACGCCGCAGGTGGAGGGTGCACACAAGGAACCGGAGGAGGGCGGAAGAATCGGGGAGGAAGGGACAGGTGGTTTCAGGGCCAGCTTGCGTCTGGCTGCCAAACCCCGGAAAGTGCACACGCTGGTCAGCAGAATTCAGAAGCGTCTGCAGGAGCGCAAGATGAGGGTGCTGGAGCGACAGGTGAGAGAGAAGAACGCAGCAGAGCAGAGTAAGGAGGACGCTGCAGGGAAAGATGCGGAGAATGAGCAAGGAGGATGGGGGGAGGCCAGCGTGGAAGAGGGGAAAAACAGCAAAGCAGTTCGGGAATTGGGTGCCGACATCCTGGATACCATAGGAAGTCCCTCGGAAGAACGGGAATCTGCTGTAAGCGCTGAGAGCCCAGACATCTCCCAGGCCAGCGACGCCAGGAAACGAAAATACAAATGCGATGAGTGCGAGAAATGCTTTTTCCAGCTCTGCCACTTGAAGAAGCACAAGTTCACCCACCGGGACTACAAGCCCTATCTGTGCAACGAGTGTGGCAAGAGCTACAGCTCTCAGGAGAGCTTCCGTGCCCATGTCCTGCAGCACAAGGGGGAGAGGCCTTTCAAGTGCCAGCACTGCGACAAGACCTATGGGCTGAAGCGGGACCTGAAGGAGCACGAGGTGCTGCACACGGGGGAGCGCCCATTCTCTTGCGACATCTGCGGCAAGTCCTTTGCACGGCGCCCTTCCTTGCGCATCCACAAGGAGATCCACCGCATGAAGGAGCTCAACGTCAAGGTGTCCAAGGCCTGCAAGTGCACCGTCTGTGACAAGGAGCTGGCCAACTCTGGCTCCCTGAAGAACCACATGAGGTTACACACCGGCGAGAGGCCCTATCCTTGTTCTCACTGTGGGAAAACCTTCAGGCAGAGAGGAAACCTCTTGGGGCACCTCCGTATCCACACTGGGGAGAAACCATATAAGTGTGAGTACTGTGAGCAGCGCTTTTCACAGATACCTGAGCTCAGGAGGCACCTGATCTCCCACACCGGGGAGGTCTACCTTTGCCCTGTTTGTGGAAAGGCCCTCCGTGACCCCCACACCCTCCGAGCCCACGAGCGCCTTCACTCTGGAGACCGCCCTTACAAGTGCGACCAGTGTGGAAAGGCCTACACCTTGGCCACCAAGCTGCGCCGGCACCAGAAGAGCCACTTGGAAGAAAAGCCCTACAAGTGCCAGACGTGTGGGGCGGGCTACACCCTAATGCAAAGCCTGGTCCGCCACCAGTTGTCCCACAAAAGGAAAGAGGAGAAAATTGCCGGGGAGCTGGCAGAAGCATTGGCAGCTCTGGAATCAGATCACTCTGCCCCTTCGAAGGGCAGGCCTAAGAAGGTAACCAGGAAAACCAGCAGGAGACCTCGTGCAGATAAGAAAGCAAGCGTGCAGCCCCAAGAAGAGCAAGTGGTGTATGTTCATGCTATCGATGCTGTGACAATGATGCCCGTTGCAGATGAAGGACAGGTACTGATAAGCACTTCAAATCCGTTTGAGAACAGTTTGGCATTCGGAGCCGAGCACGTTCTCCAAGGAGTAGTAGGCTCCTCGACCGAAACTGGCCAGACTGTGCAAGGTCAGGCCAGAGGCCACATCCAGCTGAATGATGACATCATAGAAATCATCATCTCCGATTCGCACAACAAGTGCATCATCGTTGAGGAGGATAAATCTCACAGTAATGTTGTGATTCTACAGGAGGATGAAGGGCTAAATTCAGTGGCTGAGACTGTAGAAATTGAGACAGGATCGTGAGGTGTTAATAAACTGTTAATTGCTGAATTTGTCATTAAAACTAACAAGATATTTTTTGGATGGTTCTTGTGTGCTAATTCTCAACACACACCAGCTATTTTATTTTGGTCTTTAATGTTTAAGAATCAATCAATTAGCAATGAAAAAATGGGCATATTTTAGAATTCTTTGGTTAAATGATTTAAAAATATTTTTGTAATCTCTTGCCTTACTCCCTTCATTATACTTTAATCTGACTACTCTTTCAGTGATACAACCTGATTTGCAATGATAGCTAACAAAAGTAAATTAGTTTACTGAGCAAAAAACAATTTTTACTGATCTGTTGTTTCTGGTGAGATGACCATATCAGTAGTGGTTGGATTTTTGCAAATATTGACTCACCTGCAAAGTGAACCTTGTCTCATGTTATCATCTGCGTACTCAGTGTTCCTTTGATGTATTGCACTGAAAATTAAATCTCAGTGGGTTAAATTCTGACAGTTCTTTAAGGAAAAATAAATTAAGTAATTCTTGTTAAATATTTTTCTATTCAAACTAAATACTGTATCTGGTTATGTATCCTCTTGTTCTTGTTTTATGTCTTCCTAGAAGTATTTTAAAAGGCTAAATATTTCGTAATGCTGACATTGTCCACGTTTTGCACAAACACTTCCTGCCCTAACTTCAGATACACTGAACTGTGTTGCCTTTCTGTCTGAACAAATGAACAATCCACATTTTTATTTAATTATTAAGGAGTAAGTATTCTAAAAAAGTGTTACAATTGTGTATTGTTACACAAAAAGAAACATCAACAAATGAATGAGACTGTATTGATTTGACGCAGACACTGCTTTTGTGTCTTTAAATTAAGAGGTTAACCTACACCCACAGACCCATTGAGCTTTACTCTAAGGTATTCAAAGTGTTTGTTCTACACAATTTCCATACTACCATGCTGTACATTTCTCCCAGAAGGGGTGTATACAGTATGTACAGAACTACATTATAACTTCATATGTATTATGAGTATTTCAAAATGTTTGCTTTTTTGCCTCATGCATTATACAGGCTTCTCTTACATATCTTTCATGTGTTGTATTCAAAATGGGTCAGAAACAAACTGTCCTTGCCTTTGGTTGTGAGATTTGGAGCTTCTCTGGAGCTTTGCTATTATTGCTGTAAACCTGCCTTTCTCTTCTCCTGCAACGGGAGTCATCCAATATTTGCACACAAATATTTAAACAGTGAGGCCATGAAGGAAAATCAATAAACAGCCCTTTTTTGAGCTGCTGTTCCTGCTATCCGTTGAATCCACTAAAGAACTACATTCCCTGCTTGTTTTCTTTTCAAATTATTAACAATCAAGTGGGATACTGAATAGTTGAAGTAGACATTTTGCATACTAATCCAGTTTTGTTAATTGTATGAGTCCATGGGGATGTTAAGTACTTCAAGACCCTTGCTATTTGCGTGTATTTTAAAATTCCTGTTATGCAATTAAGGGTGAAAAAAAAACAGGGGCCCTGGTTCTGGTTAAGTCAAGCCCAGCTGCAAACAAAATGACTTCAAGTCCCATGAAAATGTTTACTTTGTGTAGTTAATTAATCAGATAAACCTGTTATTGGATTGAAAACTAACAAAAGCTGGAAGACAATGTATTCCTCTGGAAATTTATCCGGACAGCCCTACTTGCATAGGGCTGTCGTGTGGCTGCCTGGTCAGGGAGGGTTAACATAAGTGAGCCAAGAAACAACCGCGTTGTGTCGCACGACGCCATGTTAATCAAGCATTTCATTCTTTTAAAAGCAGTGATTGAGCAACTCCAGGATCCTGCGATCCGATTCCTGTGTGTTTGACAAGTGCTTTGGAAATAGAAACTGAAAACCCTAAAAAACGGTGACTTGATTTTCTTATCCAAATAATGGGTTCAAGTTGAGTAAGATCAGAGGAGAAATGAAATCGGGGGAACCAGAAGATTTTAAGCACTGGGATTGCCAGTTAATTAACCCACCCCTATTCGAAAGATGGAGCAAAAAGCTTTGTAGTTAATTTCATCACAAGCGCAGTGCTTTTTCCTTTAGATATGGTCACATTAGAATTAGAAATAAGGTGCAAGTAAACACTGTTATAATACATTTTTTTCATGGCCACCTTTAGAATTGTACTCTGCCTTTCACTATGAACAGGAAGCGATCAGTGTTCCCAGTGAATTGTGACACTCTTCTCCTCTTGGGATTCTGGATTCAATATTAACCAGGAGGCTGAGCTGTTTTTTTTTTTTGGTGGTGGGTGTCTGTAGGTTTGTCCCAGCTCCCTGTTCAGGCTCTAGACATCAGAAGCAATGGGTGGAATGTCCGTGGTTCTCATTTTCAGTGTCCTGTGTGCATCTTTTGTCCAGATCTGTCTTTGTGAAAATGGTAAGATTTTTTTTTTCCGGCTGGGGTGTTGATTGTCCATTGCTTGCAAGTCAAGGCTGGTTTTTGAGTTCTGCTTGAGAGTCTCAGCAAAAAACAAGAAGTGTCCTCTTAGTTAAAGATAATTACAGGGCAGACACATAGTAACATGGACTGTGCGCAGATGGTTTAGATTTTATCTGATTTTCGAACACCCCAAAAAAAAAGTAAAAACAGGAACATTTTTGATTATGTCCTGCAGAGATATGACAGTTAACATGATGGCTGCCGAGAGGACAGCAAAGTCCGGCAAAGTTTCGATGTCTTGATTGTAAGCAACAATCCCAAAAAATCCTTCCAAAAATCTGTCTTAAATCCAACCAAGTGATTCAGCATTGTGAAGATGTAGATGGAGGCCTGTATTCTTTACATTTGATTTTCTTGTGTAGTATTAACAGTGTGAACAGGGTAATCATTTCCCCAAAGAAATCAGCAACAAAGTTTATATAATCTATCGTGTGAAATGACCAAAATTTTTTGGCATGGTTTTTATGTAATAATGGCAACTTCACATTTTCCTTGCTATTAATTTTGTGGGATCTTAGTATTCCTCAACAGACAGAAAGCGTCCATGGTTTTGACCCGTGGCCGGCGTGCAAACACCGTTTTTGAAGAACTTAAGCCAGGAAATATGGAACGAGAGTGTCTGGAAGAGATCTGTGACCACGAGGAGGCCCGTGAAATCTTTGAGGACAACACCCGGACAGTGAGTTCCCAAAATTTACAAAATTGCAAACTCCCGTTTAGATTTCTTAAATTTACTTTTATGCTGAGGGTCTTTTAATCGCTCATAATGGAAAATTTTGTTGTGCTCTCTCTTCAAATCTCACGATATCCTAAAATGCGCATGTCAAACACAGAATACTAAGTTGGCAAATATATTAGCCTCATTGTCTTAAGCACATATTGTAAAGGTTACTGAAATGAAACAGTAAGTAAGCATTTGACCCATCTGGCTCATTTAGTTGGTAGTAGTGAAACTAACAACATTTAGTAGTTAGAAGGTGATCTAAGGATCTCATTCCAGCTGTTTTCTTGAACGAATCCAAGGTGTCAGCTTGTACAGTGTGGCCTTGTTCCAGAGGTTTCTCCTGGTCTTCAATGCACTTCTCAATTGTTTTTACTCGTGTCCTCTGAATTCTGTTTCACTGTTAGCTCTCAGCTCAAGTCCTTGTGTTTGGGTTCACTTTTTTTTACTGTATTCCATGTACATCTTGTTAACAGTTTTTATTTGGACTCCTCATCCATCCTAGTTTAAGTGTATTAAACGGTCTCTATAGGTCCTTACCATAAGCCGACTAGTGTCCATCTCATTCAGATGTAATCCATCATGCCTGTAGATCTGTTTTTTGCCACAGAATGCTTTCCAGTGGCACAGAAAGCTGAGGCCTTTTTCAGCACAACATACTGTATTCTCAGCTGTGTGTTGTGTTCATGGGTTGACATCTGCAGTTGGTCACCTTTATTTGCTGCAGGCCTTGTCTCTGAGGAGGCTACTGGTGTGGTCCTGCTCTTCAGGTTTGATCTCCAAGGCGGTTTGAAGTTGTTTCTCGGGGAAAGTGTGTTGTTTGTGCCAATGTCATTGAGTCACCACCAGCCTTTGCTAGGAGCCCGTCTCCTTTTAGGATAATGTTAGCCACATTAGCAACTGGGTGACAGGAAACTGTTTGTCGTCTTGGACTTGACACTGCATCTTGGAATAATTTAATTTATATTTGCTTCTCTTTATTTTTTTTTATTCAGGCAGACTTTTGGAAAAAATATTTGGGTAAGGATTGTCCCCCCCTTTTTTAAATTCATGTCTTCCAAACTCCACAAAATTTTAACTTCCAGATTAAAAAAGGATTGCTGTTATTAAAATTAACGCTATAACAACTGCTGAGCCCCAAACATATAATTATAAGTAGTTCAGGTGGGTAGCAGCGTCAGCATGCGTAGTCTGCAAAGGAACAAGCGATAGGTTTATTCCATGCTGAAAAGAGAAGAAAAAAAACACAGCGTTTTGGCTTTGAAGCCTTCAAAACGTTGCGTTTTCTCTCGTCTCTTTTCAGCATGGAATAAACCTATCACTTGTTCCTTTGAATATAATTATAATACATAATAATAATTTGTTTTGATATTTGTTGTTATCTAATATAACATATTACAAAATATAGAATATTTGTTATCAACAATAAACTGTTTATGTCAGAAATATGTTTTTTTGTAATTCAAACATAGGATTGCTGTTTTCTCCTTCAGAGTTCTTCATGTCAATTGAATGATAACTGAGCTACAGTTCATGATATCAGAAACTGAACATCACACGTTAAAATACCTTTAACGTGTTTAAGTTAAATGACATAAAAATGTCCCCTTGAAGATCATTTATTATTTTTTAATTTAAATCAATGTCTTTCTGTGTTCTTATTGTTTGTATATTTCTAAATGTGAATGGTATTAGTAAATTCTAATCAGAAGGAGACTGTCATCTACATTGATGTGATTAGATGTATTTAAATGTCATTTCATATATCCATTCTGTAAACAAAAAAAAGTCTGACTTTATCTGACCAGCCTTGTATGTGTACGGATTCTGTTCAATGTATTGTTAACCCTTCTTCTGTTATTTTTAGCTTGTGAAGGTGACCAAGGTAAAAGAAATTCAAAGAAAATAGAGTCTTTGAGGCTTTGCTTGGATGGTAAGTTCTCATTCGATTCTCACAAAGATGCTGTAATATTATGTACCTAGAAAAGTTGCTGTGCTACCGAGGAGTTTGTGGACTTCACATACTGCCATGAATTCACCATGCGTCAGGGTGCTGAGTGTTTTAATCAAGGTGATACTGTTGTCTGTTTTTCAGGGAAGTGTGTAATGGGAAGAAGTGGTGACAAATACAGAGGCAATCTCTCAGTCACTGTAAGTGGGAGGGAGTGTCAGTACTGGTCCAGTAACTTCCCACATAAAAAGTAAGTGTGGCTAGGTGTCCATCACATTCTCTTTCTTTCTGCTTCTTTTGTTCTGCTTGTCTCGATGTACCCAAAGCAGGAGTATCCCATCCTGGTCCAGGAGGACCAGTGTATCTGTGCGGTTTTTAGATTCCCTGCACTCGAAGGCCTGAGAAACATTGTTCATTTGGTCCAGTTAAGCCAATAATGAGCTGATTCAGACTGACCCTCCAACCCTCCAAGCACTTTAAGCTGCAGACAATTCTAAGAAGAGAAAAAGAGAAAAAAGAAAAGTAGAAACAGAGGAAATCATTATTTTGCTTTAAGGTTATAGAGCGCAGGAAAGTCATCATTCCAGGCTTCTTGATTAGCCGGAGAGGTAATTTCAGAAACACTAAAGACTAGGTTTTAGTGTAGCCCAGCGACAGCTCCTGTGTTTGTCTTGACCACTTCATCGAGCTGTTGCTGAACTCTCCCTTTCTCACAGGGAATTCACCTTGTCCATGTACCCCGATAAAGACCTGGTTCAGAACTACTGCAGGAACCCCAACAATGACACGAGGGGCCCCTGGTGCTACACCAGAGACCCCCTGGTGAAGAAAGAAGAGTGCAGTATCTCAGTATGTGGTAAGCCCATTCACACCCACCTCCAGGTCTGGCTTTTCAGGCCCCTGCCCTGTCACTCCAGGCTTGTTGCTTAACGCAGTTTCTTATTTCCTTCAGGTGAGCCTCCCAGGCCCACACCTGTACCCGGTAAGAAGGTGGTGTATGATAAGAGGGAGTGCCTGAAGGACGCGGGTATTGATTACAATGGCAACATCTCCACCACTGTCACCCATCACCCGTGCCTGAGCTGGAGCTCCCCCACCGCTCGGGACCTCAGGCACGGCAAGGACTTCCTGCCCGAGGTGCAGCTGGAGAAGAACTATTGCCGCAACCCCGACGGAGATTTGGAAGGCCCGTGGTGTTTTGTCGACAAGCCCCGAATCGCGTTCGAGTACTGCGACATCCCGCTTTGCGGTGAGTGAGGCGGAGCTCTTCTGGGAAATTTCAGCAGCACCAGGAAAATCTCTGCAAAGGTCGGGGCAGGGGAACCCCTGGCACTCTGTTTTCCCCTGCACCCGGAAAAAAACCCGAAACGTCAATGTGAAGGGTTAGTGTGCGCACGGCCTCCTTCGCTTATTTCAAACCGCTTCGTTTTCCCCCCCCCGTTGTTAAGTGCCAGGACGCCTTACTGAATTGGGCTGCTGTCTGTGTGGAGTTTGTATGTTCTCTCCGCGCTCTCGTGAGTTTCCTCCCACACTCCGAAGACATGCGGCGGGGGTTCGTTGGTTTCTGGGCAACCTGGCTGTGGTGTGAGTGTGTGTGCCCTGCGAGGGACTGGCGTCACGTCCAGGGCGTATCCTACCTTGTGCCCAGTGCTGGCTGTGTTCGGATCCCGCATCCCTGTAACACCGGGCTGAATAAAGCAGGTAGAAAACGGATGGATGGATAAGTGCCAGGAAACACATCGACTTAAAGCGTGGCCACATAAGAACTGAAGGGATTAGCGTGGAGAGCTGTGTCAGCACGCGTTGGTTGCCGAAGAAGGCTTTGGAGCTCAAATGTTGTGTTTTTCTTTTCTTTCTACTTTCTACAGTGTGAAATTAATCATTCTGTCTGCCTCACTTAACAGTTTTATTGGAGCCAATAACATGATACCCCGATAAACAGCCATTTGTAGATAATTAAACCATGATGAAAGAAGCGAGAAATGTAGTTCTTTATCCCCCAAAGTGTCGGTCAAATATTTCATTTAAGAATCTGAAATATTTCACTAACCTGCCTATAAAATGGAATGCATAGCTCTGTGGTGTAATTCAAGCTAACATGTTTTGTTTGGTGCAATTCTAAAACTTTCCCCTAACCTGGTTTTGTACAGATGAACCTCTTCACGAGTTTCAGGATGATCAGGAAAAGATTTCTGGGAGGACGGTGTCAGCTGGATCATATAAAACCTTCTTCAACCCCAATAGCTTTGGCCAAGGAGAGGCAGGTACGTGCCAGGTGGAAAGGAAAGAGGGACAGGGAGGAGGAGAGCTTGGGCACAGGAATCATTCCTGAATTGACTGTTGTCCTGCGTGGAATTGATCTGATCTGAAAATGAACACAGGATCCAACACATCCATATCCTGTAACCTTACCTCCGTGACACTACAACATTCAGGAAATACTAAATGACTCTGAACATTTTTTTTAGAAGTGGGGGCACAATTTTTGTTTTTTTCTTTCCTTTATTTGCAAGAACAAAGATACTTTTCTTTCCAGAAAGCACAACCTTTTCAACGCTTTTTTTTCTTTATATATGATCAATAGATTAGATTACATTAGTTCAGAGTCGTAGCCTGGAACACCATACCCAAATTGGTAGACCAATGAAACCTCAGCTTTCATTCAGATTACCCTGAGTAGCTTATGATATCAGCTCTGTCCTTTGGTGAAGCTGATCATCATCTATTACAGTTAATGTACCACTAATTCATTGCCTTGAAAAGGGAAATCGTTGGTCCTGGGACCCCCAGAGGTTTGATTTAATCCGTTGGAGGGTTTTGTTTTCCTCTCCTCTATGCCCACGTGGTCAGCTGTTGTTATATTGTTATCTGCTATAGAAATCTGTAAAGTGTTCTGTGCCAGAGTGTTGGGATGGGTACTATTGCAAATCAAATGATTTGTGATGGATAGATTGATTGGTCGATTGGCTAATTGAAGATCTGCCCGCTTCAGAGCTAACATTCCGCTCTGTATTCTTCACCCATTGCTTTTACTTTAGCATAGCCACCTATGTTTTGTGGCCGCTTTATCGTTATGCTCTAAGGTTTACCATACTCACAGCTTGGTTTCATTGTGGTATTCCAAAGGGAACTTTATAAGGACCGGGACATGCAAGAGCTCAGAGCTTGTGTCATAGGGATCTGCAGGCTCCCGGCAGAAGGGCTTGTCTGCATGTGCCAGTATTATTATAAAGGATGCATTCTCCAAATACCCTCCCTTTCAGATTGTGGAATCAGGCCAATGTTTGAACGGGTAAATAAACAGGATGCGACTGAGAAAGAGCTCACTGAATCTTACATCGCCAGTCGAATTGTGAAGGGAGTTGAAGCGGAACAAGGCAGTGCACCATGGTAAAATTAAAAATGCTTCTGTACTCATTGTGTAATAATTGGTATTATTTCCCAAATAATTGCCCCCGATAACTGTTATTGACTGTTACTTGTCCTGGCCATTGGCTGGGATTTACACTGAGAGTCCCACTGCATCAACAGCACAGTTAGAATCAGCTGGAGGAGTGATCCAGCTCTCACCGATCTGCAGCACTGCAGTCTCTTAGGAGGCTGGCAAGCCCCAGGAATCGCTTGTGCGTGCAATGCTAAGGACCTCCTGTCTACCCTAACCCATTCAAATGAAACATTTCTCAAGCAGTCAAGCCCACCACCTTAGGGATGTCTCAGTTTATATCCAGCTAATGATGTAGCAAAACCTGAACCAGAAATTTAACCATGTTTAATTGGCCCTTAATGGCAAATCATTTTTAAACTAATTTATTCAGGACCTATAGATAGTCTAGTTTCTTTAGGAGACTATTTTTTTCATTTTAAGGCACCACATCTCTTTCACAGGCAGGTGATGTTGTACAGAAAGAATCCCCAGGAACTGTTATGTGGGGCCAGTCTCTTAAGTGACCAGTGGATACTGACTGCAGCCCACTGCATTTTATACCCACCCTGGGACAAAAACTTCACTGCAAATGACATCATCGTTCGTCTGGGCAAGCACTCTCGTGCCAAGTAAGTACTGCAAGCAGAGTGGAAAAAAGGTTCTTCGGCTCCTGTGAACCTGGCCGCTGTAGTTACTGATGCCCCTTTTCCAAAAGCGTCATGAATATACAGAGAAAGCCTTTCATTAACAGTGAAAACTCAGCAGAAGCGGTAGCATTATGAAAGACATTCAAGATCTCCGATTGTATTATCTGCTTTGGGCCACCAGTTAAAGGTGGTCAGTGGGCTTACAGCAGGGCCACTTTTCGCCTACTGTATCACCTATATATGAGCGTCAAGCTGGGTAATAACTTTAAATAACACAACAGCCTTCATGTAGTCACCTTGTGTGGTCACATTTAAGATATCTGTCCTTCTAATCCTGTACCCCATGTACTGTAGAAGGGAGGCACTGAGGCACTGAGGCACTGAGGCACTGAGGCACTGAGGCACTGAGGCAGATCACCCCACACGTGCTCCAGGGCAATAAGACCAGCCCATTTGCTACCAAGGAGAAATCCGTTTTTTACACCTACTGTAAAGCTGTTTGAGATGCTTCTTTAAAAGGCACTATATAAAAATTATTATTATTATTATCAATATGTTTATCCATCCACAGGTTTGAAAAAGGCCAAGAAAAGATTGTGGCTTTGGATAAGATAATTGTCCACCCGCGGTACGACTGGAAGGTTAATCTAAATCGGGACATTGCTCTTCTGCACATGAGGAACCCAGTCTCCTTCAGCGACAGAATCGCTCCCATCTGCCTGCCCACCAAAGAGGTTGCAAAGACGTAAGACAGCGCCGCTGCTAAAGCTCCGATACAAGCATGAAACTGTGGTTCGGCCTTCAAAATGAAATCTTTTTTAAGCGCTTTATTTTCCAATTCAACTTGTAAAAATGGCGGGTTAACATTATATAAACATGATGTACCTGAAATGTGGTGAGAACTCGAGAATACCGATCTCTCTCACATACTTCTTCAGAGGAATCAGTATCATTAGACCTGTAGGGACGCGAGGAGCCGCAGTGCCGTACTGTGACGTTTAGAGACGAATGAAGAAAATGGACGCAGTGTCCTGCACTCCTGCAGTGTTACAGGGAGTGTTATAGTCTGGGTACAGCCATGGTCTCCCTATGTTAATACCTTTACTGGAGGTTTGAGTGACCATTACTTACATATTGAAAATGTTTCCACTTATGGTACAGTAGACTATTCCTGATAATGTTATCCCCACCTCTCATTTATTTCTGAGATGTCCCGTACAGCAGCTGTTTCTAACACTTCACCTACGACAGGTGTCTGTTTAAAATGCACTCATACCAGGTCAGAAGTACTGACCCCAGGCCAGAGTCAGATTTCTACTGATCGAAAACACAAATGTACCAAAACGGAGCCTTGATGTCACCCACTAAAGCTGTGTCTCGTTGGTCTCTAGCCTGATGTTTGCTGGTTTCAAGGGGAGGGTAACTGGATGGGGAAATCTGTTTGAGACCTGGTCCAGCAGCCCCTCCTCCCTGCCCTCCACACTACAGCAGATTCACCTCCCGATTGTGGATCAAGACACCTGTCGCGCGTCGACAACAATCCGGATCACGGACAACATGTTCTGTGCAGGTACTGCGCGTCACCTCATCAAGGACCGACAAGCGTCACCTCTATGGGGTCATTTCAACTGTCTCAAAAAAACATGCTGGCTGTTGAAATAAGAAACCCTAAAAATCAAACTGAAATGCATTTTCATCCTGAATTTAAGGAACAGAAGCTGGTAGACCCTGGTTAATCTGGAAAACAATTCATGCAAACTTTGCACATTGTAATGCTTTTTGTGTCCTTCCGTTTTTTTTTCCTTAACATGTAACTCTGCTTCTTAGTGGCTTAGAACTGTAGTAAAAAGTGGGAAGACGGAAGTGAACAGTGAGGTTTGTTAGAACCAAAAGTCTTGAAACTCATTTGCATTTGTTCAACATAAAATTAAATTGCTCAACGCTGGGGATATAAAAAAAAAACGTTATGGCCCATAGTGAAAGTTTTGCAAATATTTTTAGTGATAATGCTGTTGTTCTTCATTTAAATATACATTGAAAAAAACAGTAGCAGAAACAGTTCAGTTCTGAACTGAGGTGTTTCTGTACAGATGTCCTGTCATCTCAAAGATCTCCCTGTGTGTGCGTGTGCGTCTATCTGTCAGTCTGTCTGCCTCTGTGTCTGTCTGTGTGTCCATCATCCAGAGTGCAGTCCTGACCGGTTACATTCCAGCTGTGTCCTTCTAAGGAAAACGCTGTCATCAAAACTGGCTGGATAGAAAACAGAACAGAAATGGGAAGAGGGTGCAAAGACTGTTCGCAATAATCACCACCATCTTTTTGCATGTGCTAGGGTTCAAGCCTGAGGATTCAAAAAGAGGCGACGCTTGTGAAGGAGACAGCGGAGGCCCCTTTGTGATGAAGGTACGCGAGGTAGCAGCAAAGATTCAAGCTGTCCAATTTATTTTTTTTCACTGTAGGTATCCTAAGTTAACGACATAATATTAAGGTGAGGAGAAAAAACTTTCTGCTTCCATCTGATCTGCTAGAGAAAGGCTCTGTGGCTCAGGATCTACGCCTGGGGCTGGAAGGTTGACGGTTCAAATCACGCTGCCGGTAGAGGAATCCTACTTCGTTGGGCCCCTGAGCAAGGCCCTTCACCCCAACTGCTCCAGGGGAGCGGTATAAATGGCGGACCCTGGGCTCTGACCCCAAGCTTCTCTTCTTGTCTGTGTGTCTCATGGAGAGCAAGCTGGGATATGCAAAAAGACGAATTCCTAATGCAAGAAATTGTATATGGCCAATAAAGTGATCTCTTTAGAGGGTCGAAAAGCCCACACAGATTTATTTTTGCAGCCCAACGGTAGTTTAGTCCTGCACTGTGATTATTTTGCCCTTTAGATCCAAAGCCTAGTAAATGAATCGGATGGAGAGTTTCACTGGGGGTGAAAAGATGATATACAGTATTAAATCTGGTTATGGAGAAGCACTGCGTTTTAGGCTATGTATTCTTTCTGAAAAGAAAAACATCCGAGAAACTTGGGGAGAAAAGCAGAAGTAAGAGGTTACAGCACTTTTTCCGTTTTTGCACCTTTGATTTCTTTGTTCCCCATGTGCGTTGCCGCAGCCTATTACTGAAGGACCCTACTGTACGGTAAGGCGGACCCTGTGGGCTTGCGCCCGCGAGAGGAAGAGACATTTTTTTACAGTATTTGACGCGTCGCTTTGTTCCCAGAACCCGGACGATCAGCGCTGGTATCAGATTGGGATCGTGTCGTGGGGCGAGGGCTGCGACAGAGACGGGAAGTACGGCTTCTACACTCACCTGTTCCGCATGAGGCGCTGGCTGCTGAAAGTCATCGAGAACCCCGTCGATGGCAGCGAGGATTGAGTTCTTGTGCTTCTTTAAAGGTCTTTGTACATGCCAATACGGGAAAATAAAGATGCTGTCCAATCCGAGCATCTCATTACTTCTTACCGTTCTCTGATTAGTAGCAGTATTCAAGGCCAGTGCACTTTGAGTAAAGGCATTGGAAACCACAGCAAAAAAAAAAAAGGTATCCTAGATGTATTAAGATGCCACGATTCATTCACTGGGTTAAACATTTGCAAGGGCCTATTTGATCTGTTTGATCTAATATTTGACTCTCCAGGACTATTTCCTCCCTCAAACAAGTCTGATGAAGGTGTAATCTGGGATATAA